TGAATAAGGTATGTTGATGATAATAATAATAATAATAATAATATTAATAATAATCGCTCTGGGGTGCTTTAAATGTATATTTCGTGTTTCACGAAATCGTAATGACACGATTGCAAACAAACCATACCACGGATGGGGATAGAACCAGCGATCAGAGTCTCAAAACTCCAGGCCGTCGCGTTAGCCACTAGGCCAGCTAGCCACAATAAGATTCATCCAAATCGTGTCATTACGATTTCGTGAGTCATGTTGACGGCTTTGAAGGGACTTGAGCTAGAGTTCGTCACGGCCACGCTAGCTGGAGATTCGTCTGTAAAAACTTGCATTTGTGGTCACAGTGGTGTCTATGCTAACCTTCCTATGGTGTAGAAATATACCTAGTTGGATGAATCTTATTGTGGCTAGCTGGTCCAGTGGCTAACGCGACGGTCTGGAGTTTTATGACTCTCTGATCGCGGGTTCTATCCCCGTCCGTGGTATGGTTTATATTTCGTGTTGGTCTGGTAGCAGGGGGAGTTACCACGCCTGACTTTCTACAATAAATATTCATCCTACATTAAGAGTACAAATATTTTAAGGTAAGTAGTGAGTGTACAGTATGTGTATTTTAGTTTTTTATTGTTTTTTACTTGAAGGATCTAACCTTCAAGGACCATAACATTGTATCAATCGCATCTGCTAGAAAAATGACAGGATGGATAATGAGAACCTTCAAAACTAGGGATGCCAAGCCCATGATGACACTCTTCAGGTCACTTGTTCTATCTAGGCTGGAATGTTGCTGCACACTAACAGCACCTTTCAAGGCAGGTGAAATTGCTGACCTAGAAAATGTACAGAGAACCTTCACGGCGCGCATAACGGAGATAAAACACCTCAATTACTGGGAGCGCTTGAGGTTCCTAAACCTGTATTCCCTGGAACGCAGGCGGGAGAGATACATGATTATATACACCTGGAAAATCCTAGAGGGACTAGTACCGAACTTGCACACGAAAATCACTCACTACGAAAGCAAAAGACTTGGCAGACGATGCAACATCCCCCCAATGAAAAGCAGGGGTGTCACTAGCACGTTAAGAGACCATACAATAAGTGTCAGGGGCCCGAGACTGTTCAACTGCCTCCCAGCATACATAAGGGGGATTACCAACAGACCCCTGGCAGTCTTCAAGCTGGCACTGGACAAGCACCTAAAGTCGGTTCCTGACCAGCCGGGCTGTGGCTCGTACGTTGGTTTGCGTGCAGCCAGCAGCAACAGCCTGGTTGTATCAGGCTCTGATCCACCAGGGAGGCCTGGTCACAGACCGGGCCGCGGGGGCGTTGACCCCCGGAACTCTCTCCAGGTAAACTCCAGGTAACCTAATACATGATAGTTTAAACATATTATGTTATATATATATATATATATATATATATATATATATATATATATATATAATATATATATAATATATATATATATATATATATGTCGTGCCGAATATGTAAAACTGGTCAATTAGCAAGAACTCCTTTAAAATTAAGTCCTTTCTGAAATTTTCTCTTATAAATTTAAAGATATATTTTTTTCATAAATGATGATGTAAAGATTTATAATTTTGCACCAAAAGAATCTTAGAAAACTTACCTAACTTTATTATAACAAGAACAATTTATTTTAGCCTAACCCAACTAAATATATTTTAGATTTGTTTACAATAATTTAATACTAAACAAACACAGTGACATATATTTTTTTCGTTAGGTTCAGAATGGTTTTGGCGAAATTATTGCATACACAAATTTTTACTTGTCCTATATGGCAAGATGAGCCTTGCTATTTAAGCCAAGATCGCAAGTTCTGCCTATTCGGCACTACATATATATATATATATATATATATAGATAATATATATAAATATATATATATATAAATATATATAAATATATATATTTATAAATATATAAATATATATAAATATATATATATATATATATATATATATAATATATATATATAAATATATATATATAAATATATATATATATATATATAAAATATAATATATATATATAAATATATATATATATATATATATATAGATATATATATATATATATGTGTATATATATATATATATATATATATATATATATATATATATATATATATATATGCGCAGTACAATCACAAACAGGAGATTTTAACAATGCAGAACAAGCCACATGGGGATGGAAATCGTTAGCTCAAGATCTTTCGCATTCTTGTGCGTCGTCAGGAGCTATGCAATGTTGCAAGAATATGAACAGATATTAGGTGGGGAAATAATTCTCTGAGGCGAGGCAGAAGCGTAAAGCGTTGAGCCATGTCAGAGTGGTCACACTCCACTGTAACAAGGGCAATAATCACCAACGAGCGATAAAATATGCATGGCATGGATTGCAAAAGTACGAACCGGTACCAAAATATTAAGCTTTCAGTTTCTCCAGTGGCAGTAAGTATGTGGCAGTTGGGAGTTAAGGCTAGCACTGATTTTCTTCATTTATGAAGGAAGATGGAGGGTCTTTTAATGCTGGTGAACGGTTTATAATCCGATGAATTGGAGTTTCATTCACGTTGCTGGTTTTAAAACCTGATTGCATTCAATTCCCATGTTCTTTAACTCGTATAATTTACAGATATCCAAAGAAAACTTATTATTACTTAAAATTATCTAAAGCTAAGCAGTACAAGGCAACGCCATCTATGATTCGTGTCTTCATATTTATCTGTACATACCTGGAGAGGATTTTGGGGGTCAACGCCCCCGCGGCCTGGTCTGTGACCAAGCCTCATGTATACACTTAGTGTAGAGTGTAGAAATTATTCTTGACTGGTTGTAAACAGATCACGTGCAGCCTTAACAGCCTATAGACCTAACAGTCTATAAGCTTTGAAAAACCACCATCCAGCCTTATATGTTCTAGCAAAATAATAAAAATTCTCTATCAGTGCCGTGTTATAAGGGAAAATAAAAACTCATAAACGTGTTGACAGACTTTCACGTGTGCGGGACGCCTTGATTAATTTCTGACAGTGGCGAGGCGGTGAAGTTTATGGTGTGAATCCTAAGTATTTTTTTTTTTTTGGGGGGGGGAAGAGTGAACGCACACCACCACCACTTTCCCTGGTAGCCGTCAGCACTTGCTGTTAGAATTGCGCAACAGAAACCACCAATGTGGTTACCCGGTCTCTGGTAGTTACTTGCAAGTTTTGTAGAGGATTCAATCTACTGTTGCCTTTGCAAGACCTGTCGACGAATGTGGAACTAAATGTATAACACTTTCTTGATCAGTGTTTGTTTACAGACGATGGTTCTAAGAAGAGCTTTATTAGCTCTACTTTGAGCAAAACGTCGTCTACGAATGTTTTGCTCTACTCAGTGTGCCTTCTTACCGATGTCTCGCGCTAGCCTTCTGAGAACTTTGCTTTAGAGATGTATCGGATATCCGCATTACCTGGAGTTTACCTGGAGAGAGTTCCGGGGGTCAACGCCCCCGCGGCCCGGTCTGTGACCAGGCCTCCTGGTGGATCAGAGCCTGATCAACCAGGCTGTTACTGCTGGTTGCACGCAAACCAACGTACGAGCCACAGCCCGGCTGGTCAGGAACCGACTTTAGGTGCTTGTCCAGTGCCAGCTTGAAGACTGCCAGGGGTCTGTTGGTAATCCCCCTTATGTATGCTGGGAGGCAGTTGAACAGTCTCGGGCCCCTGACACTTATTGTATGGTCTCTTAACGTGCTAGTGACATCCCTGCTTTTCATTGGGGGGATGTTGCATCGTCTGCCAAGTCTTTTGCTTTCGTAGTGAGTGATTTTCGTGTGCAAGTTCGGTACTAGTCCCTCTAGGATTTTCCAGGTGTATATAATCATGTATCTCTCCCTCCTGCGTTCCAGGGAATACAGGTTCAGGAACCTCAAGCGCTCCCAGTAATTGAGGTGTTTTATCTCCGTTATGCGCGCCGTGAAGGTTCTCTGTACATTTTCTAGGTCAGCAATTTCACCTGCCTTGAAAGGTGCTGTTAGTGTGCAGCAATATTCCAGCATCCGCGGAACATCCGCATAATTCCTTACATCCGCATCCTCATTCGCATTTTACTGTAAATAAATATCTGCATATGCATCCACATCCGCAAAATAAGTAAGACATCCTCATACACATCCGCATCCGTGGATATCTAAATTTTCACATCCGATACTTCTCTACTTTGCTCAATACTTGTTAATATTCTTCCCATCAGTAATTTCTTTTAAAATCGAGTATTTCTTCGTGAAACTCTTTCTAGGGGTCTAAGAGACTTTATGTATACTGGGTGTATAATAATCCACTTGATACAACAAACCGAGCAATTCTGTGATGTCCCGCTACATAACATCCGATTTCACTTAAACGTGAATCGGCTAATATAATGGCTATTATATAACGTGAGAATATAGCTAGTCTATATAGAGTGGCTATATTCTCACTGGAAGACACCAACGAGTGGGTCTCGACACAATGCTGATGAAGGTATTATTTTAGAATGAGTTATTACTTGTTAAAAATGGTAATCCTGAGCCAGTGGTGATCACTAATAGTAAATCGTAACAGGAAAAAGTTGCTCTGTACATTTCGACCTCGGTCTGGAGCCCTTTTCTGCCGAGAGAGTCCAAGGCCGCGAGGCTGACCGAGCATAGAAGAAAAGGCTGTGTGCTGGCTTTCTCTTTTAACGGACCGTTATGCCGTCTGAGGGACGACCAACGTTCAGAGGAACACGCGGAAACTGGCTATGATTATTTCTGTTGTTTGAAAGGAAAGACTATTTATGATAAGTGACAGGAAGTTTAACTGCGAGGAGGGTGAGGTGAAGGGGGTGAAGGGAAAGGAGGTGAAGGGGAAAGGGGTGAAGGGGGGGAAGGGGTTTACAAGTGACGGTGAAGGGAGGATTGCTGGACAAAATGTGTAACTTTCGCTGGTCGGTTGAAGAGTGTGGGGGATGTGGCGCCGGTCATCAGTGGTTCTTCCACAGCCATATTGAGCACATCTCCCTGTGCTCCCTTTTTCCTCTGCCGCTGCTGTTACTTACCGTACAATCATACACCCCCATCCCGCCCTCTCACACACTAACACTCCATCCACCAAAAAAAAATCACAAATTAGTATATACGCACTCTAGGAATCTCTAGCAGGACTGATATTGTAAGCATCCAATTGCGAACGCTGTTCAAAACATCTTTCAAGTTACTTTCATATTTATTTCTATTGAGGAGCTGGTATAGGCGAATCTACGAACGCTGTTCTTCCGACTCCTCACAGCAGCGTAACATCTGCGGGAGTTACAGTCAACAAGATTAAGTAGTGAAAAGTATATTGATAAGATCAGTGGACCAGCAGTGTATCCTGCACACTCAAGGATTTTTACATTGGACTGCGTCCTCTAGACAGCTACTCCACCAGCACGTCGAAGGTAAGTTCACTTCGTATCCTTCTCTCAAAATGTTTGACGTCCTTTGGGAACGTACTTGCTTGGACATCCTCCTCTTTTCTGAAATTCTGCAAGCTCCTGATGTGTTAATTGCAACACGAAAGGCCTAAAACTATCATTGTACTCCCCCCCGTGGTTGTTTTGCATCCTGTATCGCTTGGTTTGCAATATTTGCGTAATATATATATATAATATATATATATATTATATATATATATATATATATATATATATATATATATATATATATATATATATATATGTCGTGCCGAATATGTAAAACTGGTCAATTAGCAAGAACTCATTCAAAATTAAATCCTTTCTATAATTTTCTCTTATACGCTTACAGGTATATTTTTTTCATTAATGTTAATGTAAAAATTTTTAATTTTGCACCAAAAGAATCTTAGAAAACTTACCTAACCTTATTATAACAAGAACAATTTATTTTACCGTAACCCAACTAAATATATTTTAATTTGTTTACAATAATTTAGTACTAAACAAACACAGTGAAATATATTGTTTTCGTTAGGTTCAGAATGATTTTGGCGAAATTATTGCATACACAAATTTTCGCTTGTCCTATATGGCAAGATGAGCGTTGCTATTTAAGCCAAGATCGCAAGTTCTGCCTATTCGGCACGACGTATATATATATATATATATATATATATATATATATATATATATATATATATATATATATATATATATATATATATATATATATATATATATATATATATATATATATATATATATATATATGGGTAGATTGGTAAAGCACTGCGTACCTTGTCCTAAGGTTCGTAGGTTCAAGTCTCCTTCAGCCAGAGATCAGTGTTTGTGTATATTTCGCATGCTCTCGCGAATTCCTTGTATATATATATATATATATATATATATATATATATATATATATATATATATATATATATATCACCTTAAACCTTACTGCAATGATTAAAATAGTTTTGACTGGTAGTATACAGACTAAGTGCAGCCTTAATCACCCTTGTGAAGGCGATCAAAATTTAAGTTCGGTTAGGTAACAAACCGAGAGGCGGGTTTATATTTATCTTTCTCATCGTGCCAGAAATCTCGACGTTCCACAAGTGACCCTTTGATTTATTTTACGATAGGTTTAGTGTACATCATGTTAATAGTCAGCTAGTGTTATATATAGTCAGCGAGTGTTATTGTCAGCTAGTGTCATGGTCAGCTAGTGTCATGGTCAGCTAGTGTTACAGTCAGCTAGTGTCATGGTCAGCTAGTGTCATGGTCACCTAGTGTTACAGTCAGCTAGTGTCATGGTCAGCTAGTGTCATGGTCAGCTAGTGTTACAGTCAGCTAGTGTCATGGTCAGCTAGTGTCATGGTCAGCTAGTGTTACAGTCAGCTAGTGTCATGGTCAGCTAGTGTTATAGTCAGCTAGTGTTACAGTCAACTAGTGTCATGGTCAGCTAGTGTTATAGTCAGCTAGTGTCATGGTCAGCTAGTGTTATAGTCAGCTAGTGTCATGGTCAGCTAGTGTTATAGTCAGCTAGTGTCATGGTCAGCTAGTGTTATAGTTTGCTAGAGTCATGGTCAGCTAGTGTTATAGTCAGCTAGTGTCATGGTCAGCTAGTGTTATAGTCAGCTAGTGTCATGGTCAGCTAGTGTTATAGTTTGCTAGAGTCATGGTCAGCTAGTGTTATAGTCAGCTAGTGTCATGGTCAGCTAGTGTTACAGTCAGCTAGTGTCATGGTCAGCTAGTGTTATAGTCAGCTAGTGTCATGGTTAGCTAGTGTCATGGTCAGCTAGTGTCATGGTCAGCTAGTGTTATAGTCAGCTAGTGTCATGGTCAGCTAGTGTTAGTCAGCTAGTGTCATGGTCAGCTAGTGTTACAGTCAGCTAGTGTCATGGTCAGCTAGTGTTATAGTCAGCTAGTGTCATGGTCAGCTAGTGTTATAGTTTGCTAGAGTCATGGTCAGCTAGTGTTATAGTCAGCTAGTGTCATGGTCAGCTAGTGTTATAGTCAGCTAGTGTCATGGTCAGCTAGTGTTATAGTCAGCTAGTGTCATGGTCAGCTAGTGTTATAGTTTGCTAGTGTCATGGTCAGCTAGTGTCATGGTTAGCTAGTGTCATGGTTAGCTAGTGTCCATGTTTTGTGACCACCTCTTGGGTCATCTTCCTCGTGGGAAATTTTGTGTGTGGTGTATGCCAAGTAGTCGGCTACTGTATAATGTACTCAACTCTGTACTCTTTCCCTCTGCAACGTTCTTTGTACTCTAGTCATAAGAGTGGTAGTGGCGCCGCTAGACAAGACAGTAACGGTTGGTTGCTCCCGTAAAACAACGAGATAGGTGCCGTCGTGGTGTTGCTACCAGAGTTACGCAAAATTTGTTATCAAAAAAATAATTACTACCATCTTGGATATCTAAGATTAATGCCGAGAGGATGTTATTGAACTGTGTGTGTGTGTGTGTGTGTGTGTGTGTGTGTGTGTGTGTGTGTGTGTGTGTGTGTGTGTGTGTGTGTGTGTGTGTGTAAAGGTCGTGTACTCTAACATCCCTTACTTTCGTTTTAGCGAGGTTTTGTGAAGGGCGGGAGGAGAGGAGAGGGAAGTGGAGTCTGGTAGCTTTCACTAATGACAGCTGACTAGTGTGTGTGTGTGTGTATATATTATATATTATATATATATATATATATATAGAGTATGTAGGAAAGAGGGAAATTTTTTCCCAGTAAAAGTAGGCCTTAGACAAGGATGTGTGATGTCACCGTGGTTGTTTAATATATTTATAGATGGGGTTGTAAGAGAAGTAAATGCGAGGGTTTTGGCAAGAGGCGTGGAGTTAAAAGATAAAGAATCACACACAAAGTGGGAGTTGTCACAGCTGCTCTTTGCTGATGACACTGTGCTCTTGGGAGATTCTGAAGAGAAGTTGCAGAGATTGGTGGATGAATTTGGTAGGGTGTGCAAAAGAAGAAAATTAAAGGTGAATACAGGAAAGAGTAAGGTTATGAGGATAACAAAAAGATTAGGTGATGAAAGATTGAATATCAGATTGGAGGGAGAGAGTATGGAGGAGGTGAACGTATTCAGATATTTGGGAGTGGACGTGTCAGCGGATGGGTCTATGAAAGATGAGGTGAATCATAGAATTGATGAGGGAAAAAGAGTGAGTGGTGCACTTAGGAGTCTGTGGAAACAAAGAACTTTGTCCTTGGAGGCAAAGAGGGGAATGTATGAGAGTATAGTTTTACCAACGCTCTTATATGGGTGTGAAGCGTGGGTGATGAATGTTGCAGCGAGGAGAAGGCTGGAGGCAGTGGAGATGTCATGTCTGAGGGCAATGTGTGGTGTGAATATAATGCAGAGAATTCGTAGTTTGGAAGTTAGGAGGAGGTGCGGGATTACCAAAACTGTTGTCCAGAGGGCTGAGGAAGGGTTGTTGAGGTGGTTCGGACATGTAGAGAGAATGGAGCGAAACAGAAGGGACTTCAAGAGTGTATCAGTCTGTAGTGGAAGGAAGGCGGGGTAGGGGTCGGCCTAGGAAGGGTTGGAGGGAGGGGGTAAAGGAGGTTTTGTGTGCGAGGGGCTTGGACTTCCAGCAGGCATGCGTGAGCGTGTTTGATAGGAGTGAATGGAGACAAATGGTTTTTAATACTTGACGTGCTGTTGGAGTGTGAGCAAAGTAAATTTATGAAGGGATTCAGGGAAACCGGCGGGCCGGACTTGAGTCCTGGAGATGGGAAGTACAGTGCCTGCACTCTGAAGGAGGGGTGTTAATGTTGCAGTTTAAAAACTGTAGTGTAAAGCACCCTTCTGGCAAGACAGTGATGGAGTGAATGATGGTGAAAGTTTTTCTTTTTCGGGCCACCCTGCCTTGGTGGGAATCGCCGGTGTGATAATAAAAAAATAAAAATAAATATATATATATAATATATATATATATATATATAATTATAATATATATATATATATATATTATATAATATATATATATATATACCCTTAATCCCCTCCCCATCCTCCCCCGGGAGGGCCGTACAGCCCACAGGTGAGAGTATTCGACTCACAGTAGCAAGATCCTGGGTTCGAATCCCTGGTGGGGATTGACATCTGGGCTGGATTCCTTACACTCTTGCTACCCCTGTCCACCTAACGGTAAAAATAGGTACCTATGTGCTGGCTAACTGAAGTAGGTCGCATCCAGGTAAAAATACGTACGGTAATTCCAGTACCTATTTAAAATATTAAAGTGTTAGGTAAAAGCTATTCGTGTACCTAATAATGTTAATGAATAATATATAAAAACGTTTATTCCGTCCCTACAAGAGTTGGACTGGTGAGTAGCGTTGTATCTTTGGTTCATTACTGATATTCCTCAGGTGTCGAGGACGCAGGTACGGGTGATAATTAGGTGATGTAATGGTTTTAGAAAAACAACGAATTGAACAATGAGACACTTGTGAACAGTTCGGAAACTCTCTTGATGGAGTGAACACCTCGACTCCAGGCTGAGAGACTGGTTACCTTATTCTCCTCCTTGCTCATCGGTCTTCTCTGTATTGGACTGAAGAAGCCACCGGCTGGAAAGACGTTTCTTCAGTAAAAATTCCTGAATAATGTACAAGTGTGTCTTCAAGTGATGGTTAGTTTTGCTCGGCTCGGCTCACTGTGTGACCCTTGTGTTTCAGGGCTTTGTTTTGGTTGTAATAATCGGCTTGGTTCAGAATACTGAGACAAAAAATGTGTTGCGTATATGTTGTTGGGGAATGTTTGTGTGTTTTTATTTTCAGTGAAAACCTGCAAGCCATAACTAAAAAAAAAAAACGCCCGTTCAATCTTTTTTGTGTGTGTGTAAGAAAGCTCTTCGTTACGTGAAAAAATTACACATATAGAAAACAGTCTGGTGGACATATTTGTTGTTATATTTTTTGCACAGTGTGTGAATTATGTTTCTTTGGAGACATCTGTGTCAGCGCAGGAGA